GTTTGGAATTTAAAAGACACGTGCGAATACATTGCTTTTGCAACTTCAATTTCTCTTATTCAGTGTTTCAGTTTGATTTGAGCGTTGTTTCAGTTATATTGAAGCGAAAGCGGATCGCGTAACGGTGATATTCAGTACGATTTTCCGTGATCCGGACGATGTGATCATTGGGAAACTATTTCTGCAGGTTTGTTTTGTTCGGTTTTTGATTTTGTTTTCTTTTTGGAATAATTATTTTTTGGTGCAGAAAATTTGTTATGAATGAATGTGTACAGGAATTCCGTGAGGGACGAAAGGCGTCGCAAACCGCGCCTCAAGTGCTCTATTCGGTCGGCGAACCCCCACTCGAGCTGAGAAGTTGTGCAGATGCGCGTGTCGGTGATAATGTCGGTTATATCACGTTCGGTATGTTCTTGATTGTCTTCGTAATTGAGTGATGATAACGATAACTTATTCAGTGCTCTTCCCACGCCATACAAACAAGAACGCACGCGATAACACCATCAATCTGATACATACATTCCGTGACTACCTTCATTACCATATCAAATGCTCAAAGGTATGATCTCATTGAAACATTCAGTTTTTCGGCGAACTTTTTATCTGTTCTTTCAACGAGCNATTCTATTTGAAATTCAGGCCTATATGCATTCACGTATGCGTGCGAAAACGTCAGATTTCTTGAAAGTTTTGAATCGGGCGAGACCTGAGGGAAGGATCGAGAAGAAGACGTTCTCGTGAGTGATTCTTTTGTATCTTATTATCATTATTGTCATCTTTCATTTATTCTACGATACGTTATTTATTTCAGTGGTCGAACATTCCAACAACTGTGAGTGTTGTTCAAACTAGCCGATCGTCGGTTTGAGTGATTAATAGATTTTGTTTCTTGTAATCGAAGAAATCAGTTGATTTCATTGTACCTTTGTCTGATCCTGAGACTGTATTTTGCTTTATTTGATCTTCATTGCTGTTGATTATCGTTTTATTAATTCCCACTTTTTACTTATTTATTGAAATTGTTAAAATTGTTTTCGCTTTATTTTGATTACGCTCTGATGTTAATAGTACATATTGTGACTATTTGAAACTTTTCAGTGCATCAAACAATGATAATTTTTGCAGTGATACGTAATTTTTATGATTATGTTGTAGCGTTTCGTTCTCTTTATTTTTGCCCCGAATTGCCCAAAAGTTTCGAATTCGTATGAAAAAAAAACTAAATTGTTGTGTTCCTTCGAATGCTTTGAAAGAGATTTTCGTGAGGCATCAGATTTTATGGAAGTTAGTTTCTGAAAAAAAAA